TACTTTTGCATCATTGGCCAGCAAGTGGCTGTCTCCGACAATGATCTCCACACTCGCAGTGCTGCGAGTGAGCTCGTTCCAGCGATGTCCTTGCTTGATCTGCTCCTTAAGCATGCGGCCTGTTGTGTCTGGCGTCACTTCAAGAACCAGGATTTCACCACTTGGCAGGAGCGTTGATATGTTTGTTGCCATGGCTTAAATTACCAAATCACCTTGACGGATTTGGATTTGAGATGATTGCTTATTGACCAGCCTTGAAAAGCTGTCTATGATTGTGGATAAATGCTTGGCCACCTACCGCTGGGCAGTTGAATGCAGCACCTTTCGTTACGAACAACCGTCTGTGTTCTCTTATAATTCAACAGATTCAAGTGTGAATGAGAACCATACTATGACCACATCCTTAGCTTCAATGTTGGGATGTTCTCTCTTCAACAGCACTCTTTTTCAAGTTGACATCGACCTAGTTCTCACCAGTGGGACTTCTTCAGTCTGATGCCAGGCGCTCGCTTACCTCTCCCAACAGGATCCTCATGACCTGTTCTGACAGCCCAAACCGGGCGACATGGTGGCGAAGCAAACCCCAATCCCAGACACTCCATGTATATGCCATATATGCCTACATTAGGGTGGTTTGGGGGGTCAATGTAGGCATATATGGCATACATGGAGTGTCTGGGAATTTGAGTTTCAGTGATGTTCTGATCTTGATGAAGCACCTCGACCCCTGAATGGTTATCTACACGATGGTTTTTGCTAGTATTGTATACCTGGACCCTCATTCAGGCTCAAATCTTCTGCCTGTTCAAGAGAAACGGAGAGACGACCCGGCCTTTGTAGACTCATGTTGCATTGCATGTCTTATTCATCGCTCGCAGAATCGGGCTCGATCACAACACATGTCGGGCTGTATCATAGCACATCGGGTCGGGCGGGTTCGGCCCCCCATGTGCGGGCAGACATAAAACGGCAATGCATTCAGGCTGGAATCGCCTGCACGAGCTCCTATATAGGTATATATATATATTTTTAGCTTTTGCCCAGTTCGAACTTCAGGAACTTCAAACACTTCGAAGGGTGAATTCGAACATACCTCACAACCTCTCACAACGGTGTCTAATTAGACATATCGATCCCAAGCTTTGGTGGGCAGTGTGTCTACCCAGACGCTCCGTTCACGACGCCCGACTGGTCCTTCAAAACCTACAAATTTGAGACCCCAGACCCCTGACCCGAGGATTCGGGTCCGATCCCTCCATATGAGCGCCCAGGGTCGCGTCTGAGGTCAAGAGGATCTTCTCCTGACACCCACCGTCCGAGCCGCCGCGGGTCGTTGCCCGCCGCGGTGCCACCCGTGCCTGTGCGGGCTGCGAGGTTCAAACACGTGTCGGCTGAAGATTGAATGAACTGCAGCTGTTCATGGCATGGTTCGACACGGGTCGCAGGTGGGAAGCAAGTGTTAATATGATTCTGATTGATGGCCACAAAGAAACACCCGTGAGGAAGCTTCCTTTCAACATCATTCTGAACACGTGCTTCTTGCTTGGTTTGGGGAATACATCGAACAAACAACACACTTTTTTCAGTTCGACAGATGATTGTACCATTCATGCAGAGTCTATGCAGCCACTTAGCCCTGAGTAAACATACAAAACTTGACGAAAAACACGCAATTGTTACTCAAAAAATATGACACGGTTGCAGTAATCTTGGCTATCAGCTGACCAGGATGCTATGCTTGTGGCCAGCTACCTTGTAGGGGTAGTGGGGGTTGATTGGCTTTTCCTCTTCGATTATTTTGAATGGATCGGATAGTGCCAGAATTTGCTTGGGTGGCTTCTTGTCTGAAGCTGTATCTTTTCGGGCTGGCATTCCTCAAGGTAGGACATTTTGCAGGTTAACCTGTCTCGGCCCCTGATGGTCGAGACCCTTCAGCAGACTTTGTGCGAGACCTTGTTCTCGTACCGAGACCTGCCTTCCAACCGAGACCTGCACCCAAACGCTCATAGACCGGTCCCGAACCAAGCCGGATTTGGGGGGTCAAGGAAGACCGGATTTGGGTCCCAGGCCCTAGGGCTCCAACTACCGCCTGAGAAGATGGTTGGGGTGGGTTTTGGGGGTCTAACCACCTTCTGAGGATATGGTTGGAGCCCTAGGGAGGGTAAGGACTAAATTGACACCTGTCGGATTGGGAGGCCGACGTTCGGGACCTCCGCATTCACCTGGTGCCACCGGACCCGACGTGCGGGTGCCACCGGACTTTCGTTGAGACCACTTGCTCGCGTTTTTTCTTGGGTTGCAAGACTCTCTACCCGTCAAGACAGGATTGAATGCCTCGAACTTTTGGGCACCTGGAAGTTAGGACCTTTGATTTACATTGACGATGTAGTGGGGGCCTTCCCCTCTGCTGACGCAGTCTCAACCGCTGTCAATGTTGGATTAAGGCGGTCTGAAATGACAGCCCGCGCCAAGTTTAACTTAGGACCACCTAAGACTGCTATCATGCTCTGTTTTGGGGCAGTTGACACTTCACTGAGGCACTCACAATGCACCTCATATAAGCTTCTGGGATTTCACTTGGATTCTGATTTGTCACTGCGGGAACGTGAGACATATTTGTTAAATATTGGCAGGGCCCTTTTTCTTGAGCTAGTCTCATTAGCTAAGACTGTGGTTTCCCACCACCAGTAGTGGCAAAGGCAGTTGTCCAAAGAATTGAGCCGGTTGTGCTGTACGGTTGTGAACTGCTGCCTCTTAAACTTAACATTTGTCCCAAGTTAAATGCCTTGCAGGTTTTTTTGGCCAAGACCATTCTGAATGCACCGTCGGGATGGAGATTTCAGCCCCGGCGGTTGCTATGTGTGGAGATTCCGAGCTTGCGTCCAGAGCAATTGGCCGTGCGATCCTTTACTTGGCCAAGGTGTCGCTACTACCGCCACTCCACCCGGAGATCTAAGGGTGTCCATGGTGACACGTGGACGGCCTGGCCGTCCTCAGCGAACCAGCTTCCGGAGCCTATCCCGACCGAGGAGCCAGGGCTCCTAGAGGGACTTGAGGGCTGTTGTGGACGCCGAAACCTGTAAGAGTGTTCTTCGCAAGTAGTTTGCCTTCATCCTACCAGCTCTGGAACAGAGTGATAAGGCGGAATTCTACTGTGCCGCCAGCAAACACTTGCCTGGCCTGAACTTGACCTTCGGAGATCTTGGGCGGACCGCTTAGGCCACTTTTGGGGCACTCTGCTCCCCGAACTTGATGTAAGTGACTGGAAGTTTGCTCTAGTGTGGGCCTTTGTGAAGCTTACGGAACCGTGGCCTCGTTGCACGTTCGCAGCTCAGCCACGTTGTCAATTTGCCCGTTTTGCCAGATGTCTGACATCTCTGCTGCCTGTTCTTTCAGTGCCGAGGCACAATGGTGACCTTCCAACAGTCGCCCCTATCTGACCTTGTCTCCCGATCAGATGAGCGGCCATTTATTTGCTCCATCTTGTTCAGTGTGGTGTGGACCGGCAAACTTGATGCTGCCAGAGTCACGGTATTGATGCTTCATCTTCTTTTGCAAACACTGGCGTTGTTGGGAGCTTCCAATTGAGCAGGCCAAGGAAAAAGGCGGTGCTCGGGCTGCGTCCAGGGAGAGTCCGGAACCCCCCCCTGTAATGCGTCACGACGACGGCGGGGCACTTGTCCCCAGTGAACGGGACCTACGTCCTACGTCCTATGCCTGCAGACTTAGACTTGAGTAAGCGCAGAACTTGATGACAAAACACAACTTCCCATCAAATTCCACATAAAGGTCAAACCTCTTTATGAAACCTCACCACACATCGACCATGTCCATTTCTACCACTCACTGCATCTCCTCAAAAGTCCTCAACCGTCAACCACCCAGCAGCGCCAGGACCGGCCTCAACCACGCCGGCCATGTCGGACTACGTGACACACTCCGTGGATCGCGGATCTCCACCTCTCCTTGGGCTGATGGATTGGGAACAAAGGGTGACTCAACTTGAGAGGAGGGAGACACGAAAGGTAGGACAGCGGGAAGAGAAGAGAACACGAGAGGCAGGAACAAAAATGCAATGTTCGACATGGTGATTTATCCC